TACTGGGACAAAATATACATAAGGAGAGTACATTCTTGTATTTGTATGTTGTAGGGGAGGGGTAGAGTATTTGTTCAGTTGTGAGTTTAATCAGATGACCTTTGGAATTCTGTGATTTTGATTCCATAAACTGACAACTGTTTGGTCAGTCAACTCTTCTTTATAACCTTGGGGAGGTAGTTTTCCTTCTCTGGGCTTCAGTTCCCTCACTACTCTGTTTCAACTCCCTCCCTGGGATCACGCTGCTTCACTGCTGTCATTTTCTGCTATGCTTCCATGAGCTGATCCCCTATGTTTTCTACCTTTTTGCTCACCTACAAAATGTGAACTGTAATGAAATCACTATTACTGCCATTGCTTCTGAAAAGAGCATGTCAGTTGACTACTCTATGGCTGCATTTATCATTCCTGTGACCAATGAGACCAAACCACCCTTCCCTGCCACTGTTCTCTTATATATGTTGTCTCCCCTATTAGAATGTAAGCTCCTTGAGGGCAGGTACGGTTTCACTTTTATACTGGTACCTCTAGTGCTTAGTATGTAGAAAATGCTTTGTAAAAGCATTTTCACTCATTTATTGATTTATCTGTAGAATAAGGGAGTTGGGTTAGATGTTCCCTGAGGTCCTTTCTATCTCTAAATGGTATTATCTTAATTAAATCATATGATCTTAATTTTTCACTGAGTACCTTCTATGTGCCTAGGAATTTGTGGATGATATTGACATTGGAAAATGAGAATTTCAGGAAAACAGAGATTTAAAGATTGATTTTACTTTTCAGGTGAAATATTATAAGCCCATGATCTTATGAACTTGGGCTAATATCATTAAAAAAGCAGATCTATTAGTCAAGTCAAATTAACAAGTATTTAAAAGCCCAATATGTGTTAGTTACTGTATTAAGTCCTAGGGATACAAAGATAGGCAAAAGACAGTCCCTGCAATCAAAGAGCTCACAGTATAATGTGGGAAATAATATGCAAACAACTAGGTACAAACATAATATAGATATGAATATTTATATCTACACATGTCTCTCATCTAATCTCTTATTTCTCTCTCTCTCTCTCTCTCTCTCTCTCTCTCTCTCTCTCTCTCTCTCTCTGTTTCTCCCTCTTACCCTCTCCCTCACCCTCTCTCTTCCTTTACTGCCCCCATGAGATAATCTTAGAGGGAAGGCACTAGCATTGAGGGAGGTTAGGAAAGTCTTCTTGCAAAAGGTGAGATTTTAGCTGATACCTGAAGGTAGCCATGTGGAAGAGGTAAGAAGGAGCCATATTTATAATTTTAACTTCAATTAAATTAATATAATAGTCATATAATAGTCATGACTACCTGTCATTAAATGGTAATGTGCTAGAATTTCAGCTTTTTGTGAATTGTACACCCTTACATTTTCTAGTAAGGACCCAGTTGATATTTTCACAATATGACAGTTCTTAGGAAAATATATGATCTTATAGTAGCTTATAAATGGCCATCTTTCACAAAAGCAGTATTCTAATTAACGAGGTTGCTAATAGCTATCTCCCACTTCTCTCATCACAACTCTGGCAGAGGTTTGTTCAGTCTCATTAGTAGTCAGATATTAGTTGCCATCTATTAAGTAAAAAATAGCTTTCCTCCCCTTTTCAGTAACCTCTCCTTTATTTCCTCTGTTTATTGTTTATTTAACAAATTGGTACATTTCTATTAGGGACTATAAAAACATTAGCAAGATGTTTATTGAGCTTGGCTACATGATATTTAAATTAAAAGAAAATTAAAATTTTATTTTTTTAATTAATGGAAGTTAACCTTCTTTCCCTCCCCCTCTTCACTGGAAAAGTAAGAAAAATAAAACTCATTTTAACAACCACATAAAATCAAGCAAAACAAATTCCTATATTGGCCATGTTTTCTTTTAAAACCTCTCAATCCACCCCCCCTCTGATGTTCCATCAATCATTCAATGCACATTTATTGAGGGCCTATTTTGTGCCAAGAACTGTGGTAAGTGTTGGAGATAGAATAAAAGGCAAAGTACATTCCCTTCTCTCTGGAGTTGTGGTTGGTTATTGTATAGATTAGAGCTCTTAATTTTTTTATTTTTAATTTTTAAATTTTTTGTTTTTTATTTTCTTTTTTAATATAAATTTACTTATTTTTAGTTTTCAACATTTACTTCCACAAGATTTTGAGTTCCAAATTTTCACCCCATCTTGTCCCTTACCCCACCTCAAGATGGCATGCGTTCTGAATACCCCTTCCCCTAGTCTGCCCTGTCTTCTATCTCTCTACCCTTCTCTTATCCCCTTCCCCTTGTATTTTCCTGTAGGGCAGGATAGATTTCTGTACCCCATTTCCTGTATTTCTTATTTCCCAGTTGCATGTGAAATTCTTTCAAAATTGTCTTTAAAATATTTTTATTCTTTAAATTGTTCTCCTGGTCCTGCTCAGTTCACTTTGCATCAGCTCATACAAATTTTCTCAGGTTTCTCTGAAAGTATCTACTTCACCATTTCTTATAGTACAACAGTATTCAATCATATTAATATACTATAATTTATTCAGCCATTCTCCAATTGGTGGGTACTCATTTATTCTCCAGTTCTTTGCTCTCTGAAAAAGTTGTTATAAATAGTTTTTGTACATATGGATCATTTTTCTATTTCATTGACCTCTTCTGAGTATAGGATTAGTAGTGGTATGACTATGTCAAAAAGTGTGCCCTGTTTAGTACTTTTTGGGTCATAGTTTCAAATTGTTTTCTAGAATGACTGGACCAGTTCACAGCCCCACAAGCAGTGCCTTGATGTGTCTGTTTCCCCACAGCACCTTCAGCAGTTGTCATCTTTCCTTTTTTTCTTTTGGTCGACTTTGTCAATATAATGGGGTGAGGTGGAGCCACATATTTTAAATTGCACTCTCTAATTAGTAGAGATTTTGGAGCATTTTTTTCTATGGGTATTGATAGCTTAGATTTCTTCTTCTGAAAAGTATTTATTCTTATTTTTTTTGACTACTTATCAATTGGAGAATGACTTATTCTTATAAATTTGAATCAGCTCCTTATAAATATTATAAATGAGACATTTGCAAAAAAAAAAAAAACACTTGCTGCAAAGATTTTTTCCCCAGTTACTAACTTTTAATTTTAGTTACATTGGTTTTGTTTGTGATTTTACCTAATCAAAATTGTTCTTTTACTTTTTGTGATCCTCTCTAGTCCTTTTCCCCTCCATCTGAATATCTGACAGATAATTTCTTCATTGCTCCTCTAATTTGCTTATGATATCACTCTTTTGATCCAAATCATGTACTCATTTGGATCTTGTCTGGATATACACTGTGAGATGTTGATCTATACCTAGTTTCTTATTTCTAGCTTTCCCAGAAGTTTTTGTGTTAATTTTTACACTAATAGCCAGTATTCTGGGCTTTATCAAACACTAGCCTACTGTGGTCATTTGCTCCTGCATATTATGTACCTAATTTATTACATTTATCAAACTTCTTATTCATTAACCATTTTGATGATTACAGATTTGCAATATAGTTTGAGATCTGATACTTGTAAGTGCCTCTTTCTACTTTCCCCTCCATTATTTGTCTTTAGATTCTTGACCTTTGTTTCTCCAGATAAATTTCATTTTTTTTCTAGCACTATAAGGTAATCCTTTGGTAATTTGAGTGTTATGACACCAAATAAGTAAATTAATTTGGGGGACATGCCATTTTTTATTATAGTAGATTGGCTTACCCATGAGCAATTAATATTTCTCCAATTATTTAAATTTCTCTTTATCTGTTCAAAATGTTTTGCGGTTCCTATGTGTGTCTTGGCAGGTAGACCCACAAGTATTTCATGCATTAAGTAATTACTTTAAATGGAATTTCTCATTCTGTCTCCTTCTGCCTGGTGTTATTAAAAATGTACAAAACACTGATGATCTATGTAGATTCATTTTATATTCAGCAACTTTGCTGTAATTGGTAATTGTTACCAATTAGTTTTTTAGTTGACTCTCTAGGGTTCCCTAAGTAAGCCACCATTGCATTTACAAAAAGTGATAATTTTGATTCCTTGGTTTTTTTTTTTGTACCTATGTTTATTCCCTCAATTTCTCTTTTTTTTTTTTATTGCTAGAGTGATTATATCAAGTAGTAATGGTGATTATGGACATCCTTGATTTACCCTTGACCTTACTGAAAATGTCTTTAGTTTATTCCCATTACAGATAATGCTGGCTCTTGGTTTTAGATAGACACTACTTCCCACATCAAGGAAAGATTTATTCATATGTTTTCTAGTTTTTTTTTTAACCAGGAATGGATGATTTATTTTGTCAAAAGCTTTTTCTGTATCTACTGATGAAATCATATGATTTTTGATTTTCTTGCTATTGATGTGGCCTATTATGATTACAATTTTTCTAATATTCAACCTACCCTAAACTACTGGTATAAATCCAAAATGGCCATAGTATATATTCTTTGTTATATGTTGCTTTAGTCATTGTGCTATTCTTTTACTAAAAAAATTTTTACATCAATATTCATTAGGGATATTGGTCTATAGTTTTTTTTGTTTTAACTTTTTTTGCCTAAAGTTGCATAGTTGCTAAGTTTCAGAGGTGAGATGCAAATTCAGGGCTTACTTTTCTGATTCTAAATCGACCACTCTTTCACTATACTACATTGCCTCTTTCCCCAGCATGAAGAATAACGGTTTGCACACAGTAAGTGCTTTATAAATGTTTGCTGTATTTGTTGCAGCAGTTAATTGATCAGGGCCTCTTTTTCACCACTAAGAAGCCTTGGGTAGGAAAGATAAGTGGGGAGAAGGGTTATGCACACAAAGTGACAGCAATTAAAAAGGCCCCTCAGCCACGGAGTGGTAGAAAAGGTTGAAGAGATTTCATTCAGGTAACAGGTGAACCCCATGTACCTCCCTAATGGCTTGGACAGAGTCACTGACAAGGGTAGCGGGGAAAGGAAAATCCATTTCCCAAGACCTCACAGAGAGAACATTTTCTTCTTGATGAGTTTCTTTAGGGTTCCTTTAATGTCCTTATTCCTTAAGCTGTAAATAAAGGGGTTGACCATGGGGGTTACCACAATAAAGAGCACAGCTCCAATCTTCTCATTGTTGGCTGACTGGCAGAGGAGGGCAGGAAATAAACTCCAATGATTGTCCCATAGAAGAGTGTCACCACTGAAAGGTGGGAGCCACAAGTGGAGAAGGCTTTCCATTTTCCTTCAGCAGGTGAGATTTTCAGGACAGTGAAGACAATGCAGATGTAAGAAAAGAGGATAAGTCCAAAAGGAACTGCAATAACAGATGAACCTAAGAAGAGCATGACTAGCTGATTGATGACTGTATCTGAGCAGGAAAGGTGGAGCAGAGGGGCCAGGTCACAGAAAAAATGAGGGATGGTGTTGGCATCACAGAAGTTCAACTGGTCCAGCAGAAGGGTGTGAGTCAGGGCAACAAGGTTGCTGAGAACCCAGGAGGTGGCCATCAGCAGAGCACAGAGTCTGGGTCTCATGACTGTGACGTAGCTCAAGGGGGAACATATAGCCACAAACCGGTCATAGGCCATCACCCCCAAGAGGAAGTTGTCAATGACAACAGATACAATGGAAAAATACATCTGTGTGACACACTTCCCAAAGGAGATGGATTGCCTCTTGGTCTGGATGTTCACCAGCATCTTAGGGACTGAGGTGGAGATGCAGGAAATGTCAGCCAAGGACAAGTTAGCAAGGAAGATATACATGGGGGTGTGAAGGCAAGAGTCCAGACTGATGGCCAGGATGGTGAGCAGATTCCCAACCACTGTCACCAAGTACATGCCCAGAAAGAGGACAAAGAGAAGTTGCTGTTGCTCAAGCTCTTCAGAAAGTCCCAGAAGGAGGAATTCAGAGACCTTGGTTTGGTTTCCTTGGTATATATCTCCAACAGTTGTAGGCCTGAGGGAATAAAAATGGATTGACAAAGAAAACCACTGGAAATTTTCTATCATTTAATAGGCTTGGATACATAGGGTTAATGCTTCAGGCAGCTAGGTGCTACAGTAAAGAAAGCATTGGGCCTGGAGCCAGGAAGACCTGAGTTCAAATTTAGCCTCAGATACTTACTAGCTTGGAGGACCCTGAGCAAGTCACTTAACCTCTCTCTGCCTCAGTTTCCTCAACCTTAAAATGGGCATAATAACAGTACCTACTTCCTAGAGTTGTTAGAATCAAATGAGATATTTGTGAAGTACTTAGCACAGTGCCTGGGACATAGGAGGTACTTAATAAATGTGTCCTTCCTTCCTTCCTTCCCTCCTATTTCATGCGAATGTCAGTGACTAGGATTTTGATACCAGCCAGATGGAGGACCTAGGTAATATGGCATTTGTGAAGTGGTCAGAAATCATAGCCCATTCTTCCAATGAGATAACCTTTTCTTTTTTTCTCTCAAAGTGATCCTAGCCTACATTAGAATGTTTCTTTAAAAAGAAATGTAAGAGAGTATTCTTGGTAGATGGTGGAGTAGGTCAGAAAGCTTTTGGCTCTTTAAATTTCATCTACAAAAAAAAAGACAGAACACCACCTCAGAATAGCAGAAATAAACACTGGGTAAAGCAGTTGTCCTCTTAAGATAATTTGAGAAGACTTCAGGAAAGACTTGACCTTCAGGGGCAGAGGTCTGGCCTGAGTGAAATGCAAACACCTGCAGTCTGACTCTGCAGAATCAACCAATGACAACCTCTGGTTGCAGCTGGATTGAAAGGTAGCCTCAGCCTTAGAAACTTTCATCTCACATACAGTGTGGGGGTCAGAAGGCTGAAGAGGAAAAGATCTAAAGACCTTCCACTGTGAAGGGATGCTAAGCACAGCTGTGCTGACCAGACACATCCCAAGCTGTGGCTGCGGAGGAGAAGGAGCTAGCACATGCTTAGTGAGTGCAATAGCAAGGGGGCAGAGGACTTTCAGGAGAGCAGGGCCTCTGGTTTCAAAGTTCCAGGGCAGAGAGGACAGCTGTAGTTTGTAGCCACTGGAGGGACCACAGGGAGCATGATCATTTGCAGGACAGTGTGGCTGGGGGCCCTAACCATAGCTTAGGAGTAGCGAGGAGAGCCCAAGGTTGGGTCCTGAGAGAGGACTCAGAAAATAACAGTAAGAAGGACCTGAGACTTGGGAGATTATTCCCCATATCTCAGGACTATGACTTGATTACACTGATAGACACTAAAAACAAAATAAAACAATAAATAAAGAAATAAAAATGAGTAGGCAAAGGAGAAAGAACCCAACCATTGATAGTAACTATGGGGGTAGAGAAAATCTGGGTTCATATTCAGAGGAAGATATTGGAGCTAAAAAAGCCACTCCTTTTTCAATGAGAAAGGTCAAATGGTCCCAAACACAAAAAGATAACTCAAAAAGGACTTTAAAAATCAAATAACAGAGATCAAGGGAAAATTAGAAAAAAAAATAAGAGCAATCCAAGAAAATCAAAAAAATTATGAAAAGAAAGTCAACCACCTAGAAACAGAGAATCAAAAACTTAAGGAAGAAAATAATTCCTTGAAAACTATAATTGGGCAAGGGGAAGAGAATGATGTTCTAAGACACCAAGAAATCATAAAACAAAATCAAAAGAAGGGAAAAACAGAAGAGAAAGTGAAGCATTTCATCAGAAAAAGAACCAATCTGGAGAACAGATCAAGGAGAAATAATGTAAGAATAGTTAGACTGCCTGAAAATTATGATTAAAAAAGGAATCTTAATACAATGTAACAAGAAATTATCAAGGAAAATTGTCCTCAAGTTCTAGAACAAGAAGGCAAAGTAGAAATAGAAAAATCCACTTATCACCACCCGAAAGATATCCAAGGAGGAAAGCTTACAGGAATATCATAGCCAAATTTTAAAACTTTGGCTCAGGTTAAGGAGAAACTTTGGAAACAAAAAGAAAAAAAAATTAAATATAATGGAGCGAAAAATAAGGATTACAGAAGACCTAGCAACTACTACATTGAAGGACTCTAAGTCTTGGAATACTATATTCCTTAGCATAAAAGAGCTGGAGTAATGATCAAGGGTACCTTACCCAGCCAAATTAAGTAGAACCCTGAATCTTTTAAAAAAAAGGACATTTAAGGAACTCAAGGACTTTCAGGATTTTGTGACAAAACCCCAAAAATTAAGGGAAAATTTGACATATAACATCCAGGAGAAATATAAAGTAAACATTAAAGACCAATTATAAGGGACTCAATAAGGTCAAAATATTTACTTCATATGTGCGAAAATATTAACAATACTCTTATGATTGTCATCATTATTTGGGTAGTTGGAAAAAAGGTGTAGGCTGAGCTGAGTATGATGGGGTGATTTAAAAAAATAAAACTGTAGGGAGAGTTAAAAAGGAGTAATTATCTCATACAAATGAGACATAAAAAGAAAAATTGATACAGAAGAAGCTAGTAGAGGTAGTGCTGGAGCCAAATTCTCATCAGGAATGGGTTAAAGATCTAGAAGGGTGTATATGTATGTAGAAGGGTATAAAAGTCTTCTAAATTCAGAAAGAAATGAGGGCAAGGGGATAGAGTGAAGGAAGATAAGGGAGAGACTCTTAGAGAAGTGGTTAGGTTAAAGAAGAGAAGAGCAAGGTAGGAGGTAGAAGTAAAGAAGAGCGAAGACAGATAGGGTAAATAGGGTGAGAAGCATAGTGAGGAAAAATAGGAAGGAAGAAAATACACAACAAATAATTGTAGCTTAGAATGTGAATGGGATGAATTTACCCATAAAACGGAAACAGCAAATTAAAAAATTGAATTCAACAATATGTTTCTTTCAGGAAACATAAAAATGAGAGATACACACACAGATAAATAAAGTAAAAGGTAGGAGTAGAATTTAGTATGTAAAAAAAGCAGGGATAGTAATCATGATCTCAGAGAAAGTTAAAGTTAAAATAGATTTAATTAAAAGTGAAAAATAGAGAAATTACACCACATGTTAGCAATATTATTCAATATTGTTTTAGAGCAGTTAAAATACTTATTATAAAATACTTGAGTGTATATCTACCAAAACAGACAAAGGAACTATATGAACATAAAACACTTTTTATATAAACTCAGATCTAAATGATTGAAGTTATATTTATTGTTCATGGGTAGGTAAAACCATTATAATTTTAAAATTACAATTTACTTAACTGATCTACTTATTCAATATCATCCCGATTAAATTACTAAAAAATATTTTGCTGAGTTAGAAAAAATAATAATAACATTCATTTGGAAGAACAAAAGGTCAGGAACTCCAAAGAAACCAGGGGAAAAAGAAGTAAAGGAAGTAGATTCAGCAGTATCAGATCTTAAACTACATTGTAAGATGAGAGCATTGTTGAATTGTAAAAAGGATAATATTGATTATTTTAAGTTAAAATTTTCTTATATAAATAAAACCTATGTAGCCAAGAACAGAAGGAATGCAGAAAATTGGGGAAAAAAACTTTCATAGACAATTTCTCAGATAGGATGTGTTTAGGTTGGAATATTGCTGTGGAAATGATGAGCTGGTTGATTTAGAAAAACATGGAAAGTCTTGCCTTCTGAAGGAAGATGCTATCCATCTTCACAGAAACAGATGATAGGAGGAGATAAGCATAGCATGGACTTACATATATGTGCAGGAGTGTGTATGTGTATATATGTGTATGTTTGTGGATATCTATGTATATCTATGTATGTCTATATATCTATATCTATATCTATCATCTATATCTATATCTATATCTATATCTATATCTATATCTATATCTATATCTATATCTATATCTATATCTATATCTATATCTATCTATCTATCTATCTACACACATGTACATATTTAATTATAGCCTTATTTAGGGGAGGGGAAAAATAAAGTAAAAAGTGCACAGTAAAGAACAAAAGAAAACCAATGAGGAAGCAAGGAAAAGCTGGGCAGCTCTGAAAACAGTGTTTAGTATTTATTATATAGGTTTTCTTGAAATTGAAATTTATTGTTTTATATTGAATTCTCTCTTATGGTCTGCTGTGCACATGGCAATGTTTCTTTTTTCTTTCCTCATTTTGTATTTAAGTTTAAAATAAAACAAATTGCAAGAAAAACCAAAACAAATGTAAGCTTCTGTTGCCTCCCTTGTAATGTATGATGTTGGGTTTAGGTGATCTCCATGGTCTCCTTCTGCTCTGAAAATAAATGAAAATAAATCCCTGCAGTTCTCTGTTCTTTGATCTAAGATTCTTTCCAGAACTGGTGTTCTGAGTTGTGTGGTCTATGATTTCTTCAAGGTGAAATTGTATATTCAATGTTCTAAGATCTTTCCCATCACTGACATTCTATATTATTTATTCTAATGCCCTGTCCAGTTCTGGTATTCCAAGTTCTATGTTCTAAGGGTTTTTCTAACAATAATCTTCTTCCTCATTCTCAGGTTCCTCTCATCCCAGATATGGTGCATTCTTTTCTTAAAGTTATTTCTAGCTCTGATATTCTGTGTTCTTTGCTCTAACATCCTTTCCATCTCAGACATTCAATGTTCTTTGTTTCAATATCCCTCTCATTCCAGGCATTCGAAGTTCTTTGCTTTAAGGTCCCTCCCAGCCCTGACAGTCTATGTTTTTTATTCTAATTTCCCTCCTGGCTCTGATGTTCTATGGTTTTTTTGTTGTTAAAAGGTTCCTCTTATCTCAGACATTCTATGTTGTATTTTAAGATCTGCCTTGCTCTCCTATAATGTTTGTTTTCAAGTCCGTTAATAGTTACCATCATTATTATTAGTTTAAACTATCTAATATATAACAGACCTATCAAGATCCCCACTCTTAACAAACGCAGAGACAAAGCAGGTAATCTCTTCCAATAGCAGAAGAGATAATTCTGGGCAATAAAGGGTGAGACCCTAAGACAGGGGGCGAAGAGAG